TTCAATCATTAGTTTTCTCTTGAGATCTCCAACTCTACTGCCTTAAGAAGAGCTGAAACATTGATGAACATGTATACACTTTTAGCTGAATAATAATTCTTGAAGGTATGTTTTATTTATGCTCATTACAAGCAGAGTATATATGAATTCTTTCTTTATGATTATGTGTTGGTGTGATGTTTTTGTTGATTTTATTTGGTTTTGTGAGTGGAAAAAAGATGGGGGATGGAAGTGTGTTTGTGTTAGGCCAAAGATACTCTTATCATGGTGTGATATTATTGTCCGCTCTGAGTCAAGTTCGTATGATTTTTCCCAAAAAGCCTCACATCATTAAGAGTTTCTCTTATCACGGTATGATATTGTCTGCTTTGTGCCAAACTCGTATGTTTTTTTTTCTTTCTAAAAGGCCTTTCACCATTAATTGTTACTCTTATCATGGTGTGTGATACTGTTTGCTTTGGGCCAAACTCGTATATTTTTTCCTAAAAGCCCTCACGCCATTAACAATTACTCTTATCATGGTGTGTGATACTGTCTGTTTTGGGGAAAACTCGCATGGTTTTCCCCATAAGGCCTCACACCATTAAGAGTTACTCTTATCACAGTGTGATATAGTTTGCTTTGGACCAAACTCGTATGTTTTTTTTCCTAAAAGGTCTCACACCATTAATAGTTACTCTTATCATAGTGTGATATTGTCTGCTTTGGGCCAAACTCGTATGTTTTTTCCTAAAAGGCCTCACACCATTAATAATTACTCTTATCGTGGTGTGTGATATTGTCTGCTTTGGGCCAAACTCGTATGTTTTTTCCTAAAAGGCCTCACACCATTAATAATTACTCTTATCGTGGTGTGTGATATTGTCTGCTTTGGGCCAAACTCGTATGTTTTTTCCTAAAAGGCCTCACACCATTAATAATTACTCTTATCGTGGTGTGTGATATTGTCTGCTTTGGGCCAAACTCGTATGTTTTTTCCTAAAAGGCCTCACACCATTAATAATTACTCTTATCGTGGTGTGTGATATTGTCTGCTTTGGGCCAAACTCGTATGTTTTTTTCCTAAAAGGCCTCACACCATGGTGTGTGATATTGTACTTTTGGGTCAAGTCTGTATGTTTTTTTCCCAAAAGGTTGAGACATCATTTACAATATCACTACACCTTATATGAGCTGGTATTTAACTGACTTGACCTTTGTGTTTTAATGGTTTGGATGATGATTTACACAGCCATATTAGATATATGTATTGACATATGCACCTTTTGTGTACAATGTATAAACTTTGATGTATTGTTATGATTAACATACATTTGTAGGTAAGTTTATGCTTTGTTTACAAAACCGGTTTGTTTACTATAGATTTTTGGCTTTCATGAATTTTAGAGGACTGTTTACTTTTTCTTGGAGATGCAATATGAAGGACAATGGTAACATCTCTCAGTACAGAAGTAGACTGGATCAGACGCTATCGTCTGATGATCTTGTCGATTATGATAAGCTTAAGTCCCTTGTCAAGAATCAAATCCTATGCTCATCAGAATGTGATCTTCACGGTCAGTTCTAAGTCGATTTCAGTAATGTGTCATCAAACTAATTGCTATTAAATTTATAACATCAAACACATGTACTTTGTTTTTGGTGCAGAATGTATTGACAATCTAGTAGATAGAAGAACCAAGGAAGTGGCAAACTTCCTGAGCATGTTGAGGAGTGCATCAGTAACTGATTCCGAGGCATCGCATGATGGTTGGAAAGTATGTTATCTTTAGGTGGAGCCAGAATTTGAAGCTTATGGGTTCGGGATTCTAGTCCTTTTTAAGTTACTTGATGGATTTCTTAACACAAATACAAAATTTGGACCAAAATCGTAACTTAAACTCTAGCTCTGCCCCTGCTTTTTTCTAACTCTTGAAACCCCTTGCCACTAATGTTTATGTTTAAACTAATTTGACAAGCAGTGGTTGTTAGTACTTGTTTTAGTACTTTTACTATCTGTTGCTCCGTTTTCTTTTTACCTTCTCTTTAAGGTCTAGTTGTCTTCTTTACTGTAGGTAAAACAGGACAGTGAGGAGATTCGTGTTATGTATCGAGAGGGACCAGAAGGCACTCCTTATCATACCCTCTTAGCTGAAGGTTATGTGGATGGTCCAATAGATGTTTGTAAGCTAAATTAATATATGTCAACGATATATCTCTCTCGTCTTCATTTTTGGATTGTTGCTTTAGTAGTGGAGAAGCTTAATGTAAGCCAAAAAAATTATATTTCAGGTTTATGCATTTCATGGGAGGCAGAACTCTACAAGAAGTGGTGAGATCTATTCCTAACTGCTGCTCACTAATGCATTATTTGAACGTTGTTATGACGAAAGAGCAGATGAAAATTCCATTTCAAGTGATTCGTTAGGCAACAACTGCATTCGAGTCTAACATTTGTGCTGCTTTCTTATCAGGTGGCCACAAACTACAATTCCAACTTTTAAAATCGCGACATCTCAATGTTTGCAAAAGGTCAGAACTGGTGAACAGATATGTTTAGTAAGGTTAGTCCTCCTATTGTATTATTCATCGCATTTTGATGCTGCTCCTAAATGTGCTAATATGTGTTTAATTACTTGGAAGAAAGGATGAAGCTCTCAAGGCCATTGTCAGCAAGGGAAGCTGTGGTACATTTATTTGCATTTGAATACTTTCAAGATGGCCTTATAGTTGTGGTTGCCAATACTGTAAGCACGTGAAAGTCCATAAGGCTCGTTAACATTTCTTATTTTTTCTTAACTATAATCGTGCTCATGTGTTTTTTGTTCAGATCTCTGACTTAGATAGTGTTGATAGAAGTACACATTGTTATTCCAAAGATGAGATACCGGATGTGCAGGATGTAGTACGAGTTGATCTTGTGGGAGGTTTTGCTCTACAAAAAGTTACTGATAATCGAAGCTACTTCAGGTAACTCACACTTCTCATATATCCAAATGCTAGTTAGGATAGATTGAGCATGTTCTTACCAATCGAGCTGTATTGATTCTCCGGTTGATCACTGGCCTATGTGAGTTCCACATAGGCAATTCAACCTCAGATGAAGGAAGAATGTTATGGTCAGTTGTCAGCGTAAAAGCAGTCAAATTTTGAGAACTGAGCAAAATGGATCAGAGGATTCATAAAGTTGATTGCGACTAGTTTGAGATTGATGCGTAGTTGATTGATTGTTATAGAATGAACACATCCATGGAGCTTAAGGAACAGATGCAAATAGGAAAGTCAAAATTATGAATGAACTAAAGATTCTATTTTGATCTTCTTCTACTTCAAAATTTGCAGGACAATAGGAAATTTGGATATTAAACTGGACTTTATACCTCCAGCATTAATAAATTTCGTGGCAAGGCAGCTCGTAGGTGGCGGTTTCAAGCTTTTTAAGAAGGTTTGGCAACTTAGAGATAATTTTGTTTTATACTTAATATTGATATAAACAATATCTTAATGCTCCTATAAGTAATTTACTATGGTTATTGCAGGAAGTAGCTTCAGTTGCTAAAGGTGATGAAGACTTCAGCAAGGCTCTAAAGGATCCACTGTATGCTCGAATACGTGAAGCTCTTTACTCCGATAAAATACCTTTAGAACTTCAAGACATGAAGAAAAATGCAGTTCCTCTTGATGAAGAAACTAGAAGAAAGAATGATGAAAAATGTCCTGTGCAAAAGGTTCATAGTGAAATCGAGGAGATTGAAGACGAAGCCTGTGAAAAGATCGAATATCAAAATCAGGATGACAGGAACATACATGATTCTCCAGTCAATCAAATTGTTCAGAAACCGAGCAAGCATGAGAATGTTGGCATTAGCCCTGAGGTCAGACAAGCTTTAGTAACTTTGGATAAGGCTATTTCTATCATAAGGGAATATGGATGTAACCTCGAAATTAGGACAGTTCCAGACACTAACATAATGTCAGTAGAAGGGGAGACATACAGTCTACAAGATTCAAAATCATCAGAAGCTGATAAGGATGGTAGAAACGTCGGAGATTTTGGTGTAATACCCAAACAGGAATTTAGAGAAGCAACCTCTTATGAACACAGAGATAGCTCTTGTTCCAGGTAGGAAAGATTGGTGAACACAAAAAATAGTTTTAACTTATAATCTAGCTATGTTGTTCGGACTCTTCAAGAATGCCTACAAGTGTGTGTTGGATCCTCAAAAAGTAGTGAATTTCTTAAGGATCTGACAGGAGTGTAGCAACATTTTTGGAGAGTCTGAGCAACATAGGTTAAACTCACACCTTTGAATAGTCTGCATTCCTTTTGATCATGTATTGCTTTGGATCATATGCTAACTTTTTCTAACTTCTTAACTGAGAAAATCCTTATTCTAACTTCTTAAGTATAACTTTTTTTCAGGCGCACGAGTTCTAGTTTGTGCACAAGGGATGCACCCCATAACAAGATTGCTCCAGCATCACCGGATGTTTATGCTGCAATTCCTGGTGATGAGGCACATCACATCGCTCTATGCTCTTCAACAGATGAAGCAACAACAGGGAAAACAATGGAGAAGTTATTGAAGGAGGACAATGTGACGGTTGCCTATGAGGATAGCATCCATGAGAAGGAGCTCGGTGAAAGAAAAACTAGAAAAATACCGAGATATTGCTGTTTAAGAGTGAGCAAATTTATTTAAAGGAGACTAACACTATATTTTACCTTTTATGATAGCTAAAAGATGTTTTGAGAGACTAAGATCAACACAACCAGTGTTCTGTGCAACACAATATCTACAGTTGAAATGTGAGACCTGCAAGTATCAGTTTGTATGTGAAATATGTAAAACAATATCCTGTTACTCGAGTGCAGTTATTGGTTTAGTTTTCATTCTCTTTTGTACAACATATGGATATGAAGCATAAATGTGAGAACTTCATTTAAGTTAAACTGCAAATACGAAATTGAATGAACATTTCATCTGGAATTTGAGTTGTTAATATATTTGTATTGATAATCAAAAACTGAGAACAATCAAGAAAAACTGTTGCCAACAGAAGCAACTACATCCATATGAAAAATAGAAAAAGTAAATCTAAGGTATATGTTAATATTGAATCGATTTGCTATAGCCAGATCTTTGAAGTGTGCATCAGTTGTTCTTCAGCTGCATATTTTGTGTCACTTCTCAACATTAACGTTCATTTTTGCAGGTAGCATTCATCCTGCTACTTTCTAGCAGCCTCACTTTATTGAGCAGATCTTGTGTGATAACAGAAGCATCCTTTAATTTGTTCCTTAAACTCTGTTCTTCCTTAGCTGCCCGTGCTCTTTCTTCTATAAGCATGCGAGCTAGAGTCTCACTCCTGGCTCTTTCCTGCTGCCTTATACTCTGTTCTTCCTTAGCCGCTCGTGCTTGTTCTTCTATAAGCATGCGAGCTAGAGTCTCACTCCTGGCTCTTTCCTGCTGCCTTATACTCTGTTCTTCCTTAGCCGCTCGTGCTTGTTCTTCTATAAGCATGCGAGCTAGAGTCTCACTCCTGGCTCTTTCCTGCTGCCTTATACTCTGTTCTTCCTTAGCCGCTCGTGCTTGTTCTTCTATAAGCATGCGAGCTAGAGTCTCACTCCTGGCTCTTTCCTGCTGCCTTATACTCTGTTCTTCCTTAGCCGCTCGTGCTTGTTCTTCTATAAGCATGCGAGCTAGAGTCTCACTCCTGGCTCTTTCCTGCTGCCTTATACTCTGTTCTTCCTTAGCCGCTCGTGCTTGTTCTTCTATAAGCATGCGAGCTAGAGTCTCACTCCTGGCTCTTTCCTGCTGCAAACGGTGCAAAACCTGTTGTAAACTATTCTTAGTACTACTACTCTCTACTCTCAAGTCATTGGGCATAGTATCTTCCATCTTCACAACTGAATTTCCCAGAGTTTGCCTATTTGATGTTGACGCTTGCTGAGTTTGATCTCCAATGGATTTTGATTTAGATGTATCATAATGATAGGTTGTGTATTCGGCATTGGAGATAAATGGGGAACATGATTTTCTTTTTGGTGCAGAAGAGTTTTCTGGAGTTTCATCAGGTTGCCTATTTAGTGTACACACTTGCTGAGTTTGCTCTCCAGACATAGTTTGATTTCTTTCTTGTACTGAAGAATGAATTGGTACCGTGTTCTCGTGTTCTCCTACAGTGGATTTTGATTTAGATGTATCATCATGACAGGTTCTGCGGCTGACGTTGGAGATAGATGGATTTTGATTTGCTTGTATTGAAAACTGAACTGGCTGGGTCACTTTCTTGGATCCTACATACACCTGGGATGCTTCATGCACCGAACTGTCCTTTATTGAAGAATGAACTGGTCCCCTCTCGCGTTCTACTCTGGACGATTTCAAATTAGATCCATCATCATGACAGGTTGTGTGCCCGACGTTTGGTTGTTCCTGATCTGGAGAGACAGCAGTGTTCTTTACATTGCGACGCTTAGCATAACCAATGAAATGGCAGTTTGAAGACCAATACTTCTTCTGTATAAATTGTAGGCGTGCCTCGAGTCTAGCAAGGACAATTGTGCGCTCAAACCCCTGTTTATCATGAGCTGGTTCCACAAAATTAGCCTCCAAGACGCCTATCACACCGCGACCATCACTTCCCGCAGCATTCCAGACCCTCCAGAAAGGCTTAATAAGCCTATTCTTGTGATACACATTGAAACCTTGAACATCAATATGATGTTTTGCATCTTTCACAAAACCAATAGTTCCTGTAGCCACAAACGTTTCGTAACCAACGGATTGTGGTCTGTACGTGATCTCCTCAGAAAACATCATGTCATTTACCAAATTATGATGTTCAACATCTTTCCCCCTCAAAATTATCCGAAATCCAGGAGCAAGCCTCAGATACAAAATCGAAGCATAACTCCTTAAAGAATGCTGATAAGTTAGAAAATGCCTCGAGTTAGGATATTCTTTAGCCATCTCAATCTTCTTTTCATCTCGACTAACCCCCCTGATTTGAATGTCATGTGGATCAGTGTCAAAGTCAAGCTCTGTGCCTCCTTCTTCGTCCTCCCAAAGATTGTATATGATAATTCGCGTCCCTTGATCACCTTTCAATAATTCAAACTGCTGAAATAGATCATTTTTACTCTCATAAGGAGACCATTGCACTATAGTCTCCGAATTCCTTTTCCAAACATCAGCTGTAGACCGAACCAACATCTCCCACGTTCCTCCCCTCTTCACAAAATCAATCATAGGAACAACAATATCTTCTTTCCCAGTACTCCTCAAAAACGTATACGACAACATTCCAACACTCTGTGTCAACATATTCGTTGCTCTATCTCTCCCCCGCGAAAACACAATCACATCACCCCCTAGCCTCATACTACTCGTTTTGAAACCGTTTCCATATTGACCTATCGTGTTTGCTAACTTACTTTTCGCCGAATACCCAAGAGACATACATTGCCTCATCCTATCAGGTGTCATTCCACCACCATTATCTTCAACTAACAACATCTTACTCCCCTTATCTTTCTTGTTATCCATCACGTCTACGCTAACATACGTAGCACCATTACAAACCTCATCCATTGCATTATCCAAAAGCTCAGCAAAAGCACCCAATGCCCACTTATGACTAGTAGCATTCGAATGCAAGAATTTCGGGTGAACTCTTACATGATCCATACCAACTGTTTGATCATATGCCCCAGAGAAAAAACCAGCACAACCCTCCTTCTTACCATCATAATCTCCAGCTTTCCAGAACTGCTTACAACTAGTAACAACTGGAACACTAACAGGGGAAGCTACAACCAATTCATTACTATTATATGGACAAATTGACAATGGAGCAACAAAAACAGGACTTTCAAGTTTAATTTTTTTCATAGGACTTCCTTGAAAATCATCAAAACCATTATTCTTTACTGGAATCATATAATGCATAGTTGTGTTTCTAGTGGTTTGGGTATCATCTAAATCATCTGTTAAGTCAATGAGTTCTTGCTTTATAGGCATGATGATCATGTTAACAAAAAAATCAAGAACTAAAAAAAAAGTGATTTTCAAAAAGGAGAAAAAAAAAAGTTTGAAAACTAAGAACTAAAATTGCTAAAGAATGTGAAATAGTATTGATTTTACTTCTTTTTATAGAGGTTTTTTGGGTTCTCCTTAGTGTATAAGTTTTCCTTATAATAATGTTTTCTCCATTGTTGAAGGTAATCCAAATCCATAAGGAAAAGGAAAAGGAAAAGAGAAGTAATTTTGTTGGAGTTGTTGAATCCAAATAGGAAAAAGAGAAGAGATACTCTTTTACTACTAGGATTCCATAATTAGTATGACCAAAAAAAAAAAAGGGAGTTTTTTTTCCTAAAATAAATAAATAAATTTATAAAAACATATTGGGAATATACAGATTTAGTATTTTTTAAATAATTAAAAGACTGCACAAATTAGCTAGAGTCCTACTTTAAGAAAAAGGAAGGGGAATTGAAAAAGGATTACAAGGTGAAAAATTCCAAAAAAAAAACAATCTTTTATTGGAAACTTTTTTTATTTAAAGTAGTACTAATATATATTCCAAAAAGGGAGTTGTACATGCCTTTTTTATTTGAACTTCTCCATACTTCTTATATTTATATTTATATGATATCCCTTTCTTTTTTTTACCTTTTATATAACTCATTTTTTTAGTCAATAAAAATAATCATATATTTTACATTTAATAATGATTTATTCTTAAATATTCATTTAATTTATAATTTATTTTAGATCATAAATTTCAAAAGATTTTTGCCGTTTAGAATCAAATCAAAATCAATGACCTAAACTAGAAAAAAAAAGTTATTGACTTATCGATTTCGATAATGATTTTGATTTTTTTATATATTGAGTTGCCAATTTTTAATTGTTTGAGGTTTTTTTTAATGAATTAATCGTTAACCTGATAATAAATTAATAAATTATATTTATGTCATTCAATGTATAAAGTCCTTGTTGGGTTCTATACAATTTTGATTGAAGAAGCTGAATTTGTAGTAAGATCATTAATGAATAAGGACAAGTGCCCAATAATCAAGAAATTGGATGATAATTTCGTGATAAATTCAAGAAAAGAAACATGTGCTGAATTGAAAAGTTGAATTAACATTAAAAAAAAAATCAAAGAGTTTGATTTGAATAAGAAATTTCACTTGAAGTAGAACTCTAGGTCAAAAGAGTTTGAATTGACAGAGAGTTTGTACATGTGTTGAACCGAAGAGATGGAGTTTGACTACAATACAGAAGAATCAATAAGTTTGATTTGAAGAGGAGTCTAAAGATGCAAGTAGTTTGAATTGAAGGAGTCTTACTTAAAGTAGAACCCTTAAGTCAAAAGAATTTGAGTCAATGTGGTGTTTGAAATGAAGGATAACTCTACGAAGAATTGTGCTTAAATAGAGGTGATGTCGTCCAGAATAGTTGCATACTTACGAAGCAAAAAGTGCAATTCAAAAATTGACTTCGCAAATGCTACCAGTGGATTAAAGGAACACATAGAAGAAACACATCAAATAACAATCTTATTAGAGAGTGTATGCATTAGACATTCTTCTTTGTGATTGACTCTTGATGTAATCTTAGTTCAGTGAGTTATAAATTGAATTAAGAGTGTTATTTTCAAGTTGGGATAACTCGAAGAGTTCAGAATACATACCTTGAGCGGTTTGTATTGAAATTTAGAAATTAAAGTTAGTTCCTAGGATTGCAAGAGTTGTAATTTGAATTCATAACTTAAAGTTTAGGAATCAGAGTTAGTTCATAGGATTGTAAGAGTTGTAATCTGAATTCATAACTTAAAGTTTAAGAATCAGAGTTAGTTCATAAGATTGCAATAGTAGTAATCTGAATCCATAACGTAATCATAAAGTGTCGAGACTCGTTGATTTAGTGAAGTTGAAGTTAAAATCTTGTAAGGTACAAGTCATGGTTTTTACACCTTTTAAGCGGGTTGTGTAGAATATCAGTCATTGACTTACATTTTAGTTTCATACTTTTATTTATTATTTCTTATACTCTGAGTTATGTTATAAGATTCTCGTGCTTGCTTTTGAGCCGAACACAATCTTTTAATTTATGTGCATGATTTTTTTGATTTATTATCTTATTTCTAATTAAAGTTTAATTAAAAAAAATTCAAATTCCAATAACTATCAATAATCGTAATGATTCTATTATATTTAACATGTTTACCGTAGCCAATAAGTCGAACCAACAAACTTTAAAATCGGACCGACCCACTAATAGGCAGCCCATGGAATGAATACAAATAACTCATTTCATTTTCCTTCACCTTCTTCCAGAAACATCCATGAATTGTTGGCCAAGCAATTGAAGCAAATCGAAGAGCAATGGGTTGGGTGTGGATCAACGACGAGCCTAAGCATTCCGGCGCCAATGATTTCAGCGCCGTCAAGGATTTTGCAAACCCTAGATCATCCTCCGGCAGCGACGGTGACGGCGGTGAACGATGCGCTACCAGGAAGGTTGTGAGCACTCGATGCCGAACCGAAGAGACCGAGCCAGGAAAATTCATCCGAAAGTGCGAAAAGACTGAGCAAACTTTCAAGGATTGCATTGGGAGGTAAAAAAATTGTTAATTGTGTTTTGCCAGTTCATTTTAGGAGGAAATTAGGCTCAAAATCGTGATTAGTCTTGCATTTAACTTTAATTATTTGAATTAATATTGTTGTTGAGTTGAGTTTATATAAGCTGATTTATTTTCTTTTGAATTTTGGATTAAACTTAGTGACTGGAATTTAACAATTAATCTATTTTATTCAAATAGATAGTATGCCAATTGTCATTTAGCTTCATAAAGACATAATTCTTTGCTCGGAGACAGTGGTGGAGTCAAAATTTTTGCTAAGGGGTTCGAAATATGTATAAGTAAACACTCATGAAGCCAAAGGGGATTAACATCTACGGTATATATAAAAAATATAATTTTAACTGTATAAATAGTGTAATTTCCGACAAAGCGGTCCATCTTTGGCCCTACCTGGCTCCGCCCCTACTTGGAGATGTGAACAAGCTCATTGAATTTTGCATTTTAAGGTTACAGCTTTGTATGTCCTTTTAAATTGGCTAAAGATTGCAGCATATTTGTGCTGAACTAATGGTTTTTCACTCTAATTAAAGAGGCTAAATCCATGGTTGCAAAGGAACAGTTAGCTTTTATAAAATGCAAGTATGACAGAATCTGAGATAAACTGAGAACTAGAATTCAGTTTTCATTGAAAGAATCTTGTGCATTTTTATTCTGGGACGTTATTAGGGAATACTTAGTATGTGTCCTTTCTTGTTTTATTTGCACCATTATGAGTTGGTAGTTGGTGGTACCTTCTAGTTTGCATTTGCGTTGGAAGTACAAATATTTATCCAGGATAATTACCCAGGTCTTGTGGTCATGTGGTGTACATGGGAACCCATAAGTACGTTGTCTTCCTCCATGGCCTCTTACCTCTCTCTATGTAGCCAATCGAAAGAGCACACAGAGAATGAGGTGTTATTTTGTTGATTCTTTTGTTGGACTGGAGAATCCATCCCTATGTGAGCAAAAAATAGGATAGAGGATTCCTGGACTGATTAGAAAAGGCTTTCTCAAACATAAGACATTTCTACTTGATGTTACTGTATCTTTTGTTGATTATACACTATCTTTTGGATTGGTTGTTATGTTTTATATATAGCTCTCCTGTCACTTAGATTTGATGTTCTTGAGCTGAGGGTCTCCCGGAAACAGCCTCTCTACCTCCACGAGGTAGTGGTAAGGTCTGCGTACACTCTACCCTCCCCAGACCCCACCTAGTGGGATTTCACTGGGTATGTTGTTGTTGTTGTTGTTGTACATCTGCTACATAACACACAGTTAAGGGGTACGATAAGAAGTTGGAATGTGATTCTGTTGAGGTGAATATCCATTAGATGCATTTCATCGCTTCCCTAGCCACCATTAGAAATCCTAACCTATGACTTATATAATGGTTTGATCCTTCCAACAAAGTCAATGGTCTATTCTAGTTTATGAGTTAAGGGGAAACTTCAATTGACGGGGGAAGACAATTAGTTGATCCTCTGTTCACGTTTCGCTGAATTATAACAGCTGGTTGATTTAAGAAGTGACTTATCTGTTTGGTCAGGACATGTTCTGCATATATTAAGTTATTTGTGGCCTTCTTTAATTCCAAATTGTAGTTAGCGAGGGAAAGATACTATGTGTGGGAGAATAGGATAGTTCATTATTGTGAAGCAGGTACCGCTTAGTTTATTCAGACATATAAAGGCCACATAGAATCAGACGCAATAAATTACTATGGAAGGCACATATAAACGAGTATTTGTTGCGTTAAGCAATTCTGACCTGATATCTGAAGAACACTGTGTTTAGTTTATAAAAAAATGCTAGGCTGTTAGTTAGTCTTTTAGTAACTGGAATGCACATCACTGAATAGTCTCATGTCGATCAAAGTCAAACTTGTGATGCCATTAGTAAGGTCATTTCTTCTTTGGTGATTTATTTTTTTGGGGTGGGGGAAGTTGGGGTTTGATGCTAAATATGAAACTAGCGGGCATTTAGTAGTGATTGTTCGAGTTGTTGCTAACTTCTTGCTTTTCGTCAGGCCTTCTGAGATAGTGGAGTCTAATAAAGAATACTCGGAGGAAGATGTCACGGACCAAATGACAAGTGATTCACGTTCTATAGAGTCAAGTGTCCCTTTTGACTTCCCTGGGCTGCGTAGTGATGTTGAGAATATTGAGCGAAGCTTCTTCAGTGAACTTGATCGTTTCTTTGAAGCAGCTGAGGAGATAAAGAATGGATTCTTTGGTGCATTCAGCATTCCTCGCGTCTTTGATGATGACCGATCATCCTCACCTGAGAGACGTGGTATACCCATCGAATCTCATCCTCCTAAACCAAACAAGACCGATGGAGAGGTCAATCTTTCCGGCCTGGATAAAGATGTTTGAAGCAATCAAGTAGAGATCCTCTTAAGGCATATCACTCATTATTGCCATAGAGTTGTGAATATGTTGCTGCTATGTTTACGCACGCCATAGATTTTGTTTCTGTTCTGAACCTCTTGTATAAGACTAGTTCATAAAAAAAAAACATACAATTATGCATATTGTATGTTTATACACATTGTCTTAGTTTGAAAGACTAGCATCTTTTTTTTTAATCTAATTACACAAATAATCCTATCATCAATACTAATTTACTCTATAGCTCGAAATAGTTACCTATAATAGTATTACCAATATAATATTTTCGTACTAGATTTTCAGTCAGGTACACCACTCTTTCGGATTGCAAGTCAGACACATTCTGAAATACATCTTAGTTCAAGTTAGAGACATTCTGAAATATAAATATATAGGGATAGAGACAAGCGAGAGAGGAGAGAGTGTATCTCAAATACATGTGAATCATGTTTGGATACATTATATTTGGAACAAATTACACCTTATTAGATCTGCACATATATGAGATACACATGTATCTGAGTGTATCATATACATGTATTGTCGAGGTAAATGTGATATGAAAGGCAATTCCAAAATCAAAAAGAAGACACGTAATTAAGCTTTAAACTAGTGGAATTTATGTCCAGAATTGTTAATAGTATTTTTTTTTGGAAATGTTTTGTAATTATAAAGAAATTGAGGGGCAATATTGTAACAAGAATAACTTTCCCTTATTAATATTGTTCCCCTGACTACTTATTAATTTTTTTTTCCGCCAAACATTGTAACTGAAAAACCTGTCACTTTTCGCCGTTCCTTCCTGTGTCCCTGGCCTTCCGCTTTCTTTCTCTCCTAAAAAAATTGAAGAAAAATTTCAATTCCCCAAAAACCCTAATCCCAAAAAGCTTCATCTCCAAAGAATTTATACAAAGATTAATGAAATTTAACCACAAAATTAGCCAATAATCTCTTCTGTTTTCACATACAATTATTATTAATTAACATTCTTCGTTGGCCCTTTTCTCATTTCGTTCCTTCAGGAATATTTTTTTTCTCCGTTAATTCTCATTTGGGTATGAGAATTTCATATTATATTCCAAAATATATTCACTTTCACATATTGGTTATTCTTAATTTTACCTGGAAACCCTTCTGAAGTTGAGGTGAATTTTGTCCTTGTAAGTTTTTTAATTAAATTACAGATTTTTAATCATGGGTTTTTGTTTAATTAGCCTGTATGAGCTAGTTTGGGATTTAGGCGTAGTTGTTGTTGGATGATTTTTGCTTATGTTGATTTTTGATTGTGTAAAGAGTAAGTTTTTCTAGCTGATTAGAAACTTTTTAGAGGTATTACTTGTATGAGTTGGAAATTTGTTGCACTTGAGCAGAGGGTCTGTGGAAACAACCTCTCTACCTCCATGACCACGAGGTAGGGGTAAGGTCTGCGTACACTCTACCTTCCACAGGCCTCACTTTGTGGGACTAGAGGTCTTTGTGGGACTATACCGTATATGTTGTTGTTGTCGTTGTTGTTATGACTTGGAAATTTACTAGGTCAAAGTTTTTGTCTCTACATTATTTAGAAGAATGCTGATTTTTAATTACAGGTGTTATCTGCAGCTGGTTTTGGAATTACAGCTGTTATCTGGAGCGGAATGGTTTACATTTACTACTTCAGATGTTTCGAATTTTCAACCCAGTTTGAGGGGTTAAATTGGGTTTGATATTTGAGTACAAATGTGTATAGTAGTAACAGATATTGGTGGAGAGGAGCGTAGTAATAAATGGGAAATAATTGTGTTCATTCTAAGTTTACAAAGGGTGGGTTCTTCAACTTATTCTTTTGGCGATCTCGATCACCGGATATGATTACTAATAAGAAAAAACCAAAGGGTATAGAACATTCTACAGACAAACAACCTGAACGTGAGAACTCCATTCAGAATAAACCCCCAGAAATGGTGATGATAGACAGGGAAAAGCCCGATCAGGAACACAAGAAAGACACTCAGGTAGTTAAACAGGAGAAGATATCAGTTGATTTGAAACCGAATGAAGCAATACAACCTGAAAAGTCTGACAATACAATCCATCAAAAGGCGAAACCAAAAGAGTCTGCAAAACCGAAGAAGCCACATGTCAAGAGAATGCTTAGTGCAGGACTCCAGGTTGAGTCTGTGTTGAAAACAAAAACTGGTCTTCTGAAGGAGCATTATGATTTGGGAGATAAACTTGGACATGGCCAATTTGGGACAACATTTCTTTGCGTTGAAAAAGCAACAGGGGAAAAGTATGCATGTAAGTCGATAGCAAAAAGGAAATTATTGACACCTGAAGATGTGGAAGATGTAAGGAGAGAAATCCAGATAATGCATCACTTATCTGGAAATCCTAATGTCATTTCAATAAAAGCGGCGTACGAGGATGGTGTTGCGGTTCATGTTGTGATGGAACTATGTTCAGGAGGCGAGCTCTTTGATAGGATTGTTAAGCAGGGACATTACACGGAGAGACAAGCGGCTGAGCTTGCAAGGACAATAGTTGGTGTAGTAGAAGCCTGCCATGCTCTAGGAGTGTTGCACTTGGACCTTAAGCCTGAGAATTTTCTCTTTGTCAACGAGAAAGAGGATTCACCTCTAAAGATTATAGATTTCGGGCTATCAATGTTTTTCAAGCCAGGTATTTTTCCCATTTTCTTCGAAATTCTCCATTTACTTACTAGATATTTTCGGTTTCTCATGTTTCCCTATTTCTTTGCATTAGTTTTAGTGTTTTAATGCATAAGAAAAAAATCATTTTCTGACAGTTGTTTTAAAACAGCTTCACCTACAAGGAATTCGTTTTAGAGTTTCTCTTCTGCTGCAGTTGCCTTTGTACCGGGAATCCCACTCATCAGGAATTCATGAAACCAGTTCCTATGTTTAATTTGTTGGTCCAAACATTTAGACATTTACATTTTTATTTACTTTTTCAAAAGAAGTAGAAGCAGTCCAGTTGATATGGATAGACCAAAGTCCATGTCCAAAGCCTTGAAAGCTCCAAACTTTCTGATTTGCGAAGTCTATAGCATTGCATATCAGTATCTGCTAGTTTATATTGAGAACTCGTTCCTGTTCATTACTCTTAGGTCGGCAGTGGATGCTGCTTCCAATTTCATAAAAGTTCTATCAAGTAGAAGGGTTATTATTGTTATTGATTTGTTGTTCACCATCATATATGGTAAATATCTTAACATAAGTTGTTCTGTGTAAAATTCTAACTCTCTTGATAAGATATGCTTAAAAGCATGCATCAGTCTTCTTTGTTGATGTACTTTTGGTTTTAAAAATTGCCTAGCTGAATGGGTTACGTTCCTAACCACAGGGCAAATATTCTCTGATATTGTTGGAAGTCCTTATTATGTTGCTCCAGAAGTTCTACAAAAGCGTTATGGTCAAGAAGCTGATATCTGGAGTGCAGGTGTAATAATTTACATTCTTCTCACTGGTGTACCTCCATTTTGGGGTGGTAAGTTGATCTTTTCAAGTTATTGTAGTTTTACCATGGTTTCCTGGTTATGTGAAGTACCAAAAACAGCTTCTCATGTTTTCTTCATCCATTTTTTGGATAGAAAGTGAGCAGGAAATATTTGACGAGGTTTTACGTGCCGATATTGACTTCACATCAGATCCTTGGCCTAACATCTCTGGAGATGCAAAAGATCTGGTGAAGAGAATGCTTGTTAGGGACCCGAGGCAACGACTTACTGCACATGAAGTTCTATGTGAGTAGCCATTGAATTTCAAGTTTGTATTTAAAATCCAGCTTATCATATATTATTCTCAGAGATGCTGTGAGCACCATTTTGCCTAGCAGCAGAGAGAACATAGTGAACGCTTAATGTCATTTTAGAATTTCTTTGGCCGATTTAAGTCCTCAGATATAATGTCAGTTTAGTTCAACTAGAATTTCAAACATATTTGTCTAAAAGAATAACAAAATCAGAGCAATGTATATGTGTGTGGTGTGGAATCAGAAACTATAGTTATGCTAGCTGTTCATCTTCTGCAAGTATGTCTTGAAAGCAGGTGAAGGGAAACAATACTCTTTTTAAATCAATTCAGAGAAAAGGCCGTCTGTCTGTGTAGATGGTTTTGGTTCTACGTCTTCTCAAATTAGATTGTCTATATTTGTCCACATTTGCATTTTTAGTTCCATAACATGTTGTCATTGAACTTTCTAAATTCCGCTTATCATTCTTATTTTCCCTTATGCAGGCCATCCTTGGGTGAAGATTGATGGTGTGGCTCCGGATAAGCCTCTTGATTCTGCAGTGTTGAGTCGCTTAACTCAGTTTTCTGCCATGAACAAGCTTAAGAAAATGGCTCTCATGGTAAGATACTTGTAAACTAATATAGTCTCAATGAGATTTACCGCTAAAGGTGTTTGTCCACACACACTCAAAGCCATTTTTGAAACTTAAAGTTGCAGTTAAATTCTATAGCTCCCCACACCTGCATGAAAAGTTAATTTAGTTGAAGATTCAACAGGTTTCTTGTTTCTTCTAATCATATATTATTTATTTCTTACAGGTTATTGCAGAGAGTCTTTCTGAAGAGGAAATTGCAGGCTTGAAAGAGATGTTCAAAATGATTGACACAGATGACAGTGGACATATTACTTTAGATGAACTGAAGGTTGGACTTAAGCAATTTGGGGCTGATCTTAGTGAGACAGAGATACGAGACTTGATGAAAGCGGTAAGTTTTAGACTTGTAGTCTTCCATAACTATTCTGTATTAAATGTCATGTTTCCGATCAAAGATATTAGTAACTCTACTCAATGACAAGGTTTCCATATAACCATGAAGATCATCAATTTAGGCTGAAATACATCCGTTCTCTGTCTGCTTTCTTTTCTATGTATGTGAGGATCGTAAAGATGGGAATCAGAAATGTCTTTGAGTACTCACTGTGCATTGTTTAAATTCTTTATCCTTTTTCTTGTATATTCGTTCTAATAACTTCTGAACTTTCTCTTTATGTCTGTAGAATACCCTTTTAACAACTGTATGTATCTGTCTCTCATGATTCGATACTGTTAAATGAGGTCAAGTTTGGAAAAAGTGTGATGTTTGCCTCTCTATAAAGGCATTTTTGTCTAGCTATGGTACAAAGAAGGCCTTTATAGGAAAAATGGGCATTTCATTTTACTTGTAGTGGAAAATGTTGTCCTAATAAACTAAGTGCAGAAGGTGCCATCAGACAAGCTTTAGATCACCAACCAAGAGAGAAGTGTTGTGCCATTCACCTTCTTTTCCAACTCCTTTCCAAATTTTATTTCAACGAAATATATCCATAGCGAAGTTCTTTAGTATCTCGCAGTTTTGTAACAGGTTATTCTTGTGTAACCATAATTGTTGATTTTTATATCAACTATTAAGTGTACCTCTCCATGAAATTGCTATTGCTTGTTAGTTACATCAAAGTACACCAAGTGCCCCCGTGCAGTCAATTTTCTGTTCCCATTTGCTTGTTTGGAGCACCGAAGAAATCTAACTCACAGCTTGAAAAGGTTACGGTTACAGCATTTGGTTATTCCGTTGTGCTATTGAGTACATAGTACTCCTTATTAGCATCACTTTTTGATTGTCACCTAAAAAGAAAGCCTTGATGCTTTGAGATCGAAGCATAAATCTTTGGACCTGTTTGTCCTTTAGAAATTATGCTCTCGTTATGAGCAGCTAAGCTATGCTCTGTCTAAGTATCGTTTCTAAGCAAGCGCTATGTGTGTTTGTGTGAAGACTTTCTTCTTTAGATAATTTTACTCTTCTTTCTTTTTGTCTAACTTCAAATTTTCTCCCAAAAAATTTGCAGGCTGACGTTGACAACAGTGGTACCATTGACTATGGGGAATTCATAGCTGCAATGCTTCACGTCAACAAAGCTGAGAAGGAAGATTATCTCTCTGCTGCTTTTTCATATTTTGACAAAGATGGGAGCGGGTATATTACTGCAGATGAACTTCAAAAGGCTTGTGAGGACTTTGGCATGAAGGATGTCCGCTTGGAAGAAATCATTCAAGAAGTTGATCAAGACAACGTATGTATTTCTACTGGCATTTCTTTTTCCCAAATACACTTACTAATGCATGAACATAAAGGTAGACCAGATAACATTGATATCAACACGACTTTAGTGTCCGACACAACCACATGAGACAGATATTGAGGAAACATATTCTGTGGTCATATAATGAATATAATAGTCAAACATGTATGCGTTACCTGAGTTGGTGGTCTTTCGGATATAGCCTCTCTACCTTCGTAAGGTAGGGTTAAGGTCTGCGTACACTTTACTCTCCCCAGACTCCACTGGATATGTTATTGTTGTTGTATCGTATAGAACAAAAACAATTAGAATCTTTTGCAATGGTCCGTTTCTTTTAGAACATTTGTTTTTCATTCTTTCTTAATCACTGCATCTTGTTCAAGTATCTGTTCATATATCCTCAGGATGGACGGATAGATTATAGCGAGTTTGTGGCGATGATGCAAAAAGGAAATGCAAATTTCGGTAACAGACGCTTGCCCAATAATTTCAGCATCGGATTTCGAGATGCAACAAAGGTTTGCTGACATAGAAAGATATTTGTACCTTCTTGCTTATTCCTATTTTCTGTTTTTAGTTTCTCTCCTTCATCAACCTCCCATGATTTTTTGCTGTCACACCATGATTTTTGAAATGTACAGAAGTGTATAGTAGGGTCAAAACACAGAGAAAATGCCAGCTCTTATTAATTTTAAACTCCCAAGTTGTATAATTAGCTTATCAGTTTAATATATATTCTAGAAAATAGGATGCACTCTTTGTAAAATATTTCAAGAAAAATAAGGTAATGCTTGTTCACATTTCTCCTTTTGCTCTTTCTTAGTAATTATATGAGCACAGATTAACTTTTCACACATTGTAGGTTTGTTTTGTGTGTGTATTATGAAGTGTGTTTTACTAGGAAATTAATTATTGCCATAAACTTTGTTCATTGTACCAAAGTGAGTTACAAATATCTAGAAAAACATAGTGCATGCAACACATTATGAAGCACAGATTATTATAATAACTTACTGTTTGATGGTGATTTTGAGGTTTAAATTCCATCAAAAGATGGGGTTTATTTGTTTGTTTCTCTATTAAGCATATAGTGTGTTCACAATCTTTTTCCCCAAAATCAACAGTATTCTCACTTATTCTCGATACTAGTTTGGATCTCCGATTTACTTTTGATAGTGGAGGTCTTCTACCACTAGTACGAATCATAGTCTCTAGTGTTTTCTCGATTTTTTCTCCCAACTTTATTGAGAAGATCAACAATATTCTCATTTATCCTTGACATTGTTTAATTTTTTTACTTACTTACGAGGTTGATAGTGATAGAATGAATCTTAGTTTCTAGTATTTTCTCGATCTTTTTCTCTCATCCCTACTAAGGAAGACTAATAGTACTCTCACCTATCCTCAATGTTGATTCGAATCTCAAACTCATTCGATAATTGTGGAGGTCCTCTACCACTAGAGCGAACAGTAGTTTCTAGTATTTTCTCGATCTTTTTCTCTCAATCCTACTCAGGAAAATCAATAGTATTTTCATTTACCCTCGTCATTAACTCGAATCTCCAATCTACTGATTGATAATGGAGGTCCTCCATCACTAGAACGAACCTTAGTTTCCCGTGTTTTAATTAAGTACTTGTTTGGTGCTACATTTTGTTGCTTTTCTTTGTATAATGATATAAATAATAAAAATAGCATCACTAATAAAATGAAAAAGTGGTTTAATTATCGTTATACTAATTTGATTATCCCATGATTCAACTTCAACTACCCCATATGGGTTTGTGAGTTTGATATTTAAACTAATTAAAACGATCGAAAATAATATTACATTATATTAGATAAACATGTTTTTCAATTAAATAGCCATTGGCCCCTATAATAAATAAATACATAATTTTGAGTTGTACCAAAAAAATAATACTACAAATTAAACTAATTGAGGAGATAATGCATATCCGAGTGGGGTTATAAATTAAGAGAGATTATGATGGTAAAGTTGGGTCCATCTCAACTAATTCAAGAGTCATTATCCTAAATAATTTGAGATAATGATAAAAAATAATTCATGAATTATTACTTTTTGCAAGTTTCACGTTTTGAAACTGAATGGTGATAGTTCAGAAAGGAAAAAATGAACAACTAATAGTTAAGGTAGTTACTCGCAAAAAGATGATAGTTTAGATGTGTTTTGATCATTATCTCTTAATTTTCGGATTATTTTCTTAGTAGGAGCTTTCGTTTCTGGTGTGAAAGAAAAAAATAATTAGAAGAAAAAGACTTGGGAAATCAATATTAGGTAAAATACCAATTCAAAATCAATATTCTTAGTTGTCATTTGGAAATCTTATCATAATTAAGAGAAATTATCATGTGGATGCAGTCCAATTTGATATTTGATACTCTATCGAGGTGTGGATGTTCAATTAAATTATATTCATTGAAAAATCATACGATACATTAAGATAAAAATATTATTTTCTGTATATATATATATAAACAAACTTTTAAATCTTTTTACAGATATAACTAGTATATATATTTGACTCGAATTATAAATTAGTCTCTTCTACTCACAATTTTATCAATTTACCACTTAAAACTCAATGGAACTCAATAGATGCAAAGTATTATTTGTTGTTGTATTTTGGATTCATTCACTTTCTTACAAATAACAAATCATCTCATATTTATTTTTGTTAAAAATAACTAAACTCTAACATTGATAGCAAAAATACAATGAATGTTAATTTTTACTTCCATAAATATACTATTAAATTTAGGGGAAAATGATAAATATATCTCAAACTATCATAAATTATATGTAGATTTCCTCCGTCATACTTTTGAAACATTAGTGTCCTTGCCGTCTAAAAACTAGAGCATATATACCTTTAATACTAATGGACATAGACATATCATAATCTTATCCACAGACTCGATATTTATTAAATATCATATCGACGTTTAAGATTGTGCCACGTGTTCCTATTTAGTCTTTCGTTAGAGTGAAGGACATATATGCTCAAGTTTTTGGACGATAAGGGCACCAATGTCTCAAAAGTATGACGAAGGATATCTGTATACCATTTACGATAGATTGGGATATTTTTGTCCTTTTTCCCTTAAATTTATAAGATTTTGTCATGGCTATGTGTGGGTCCCAAAATATGGTGTAAAAAGTGGGACCCAGGCACGTTGGTGTGTCATGCCACGTCTGCGACAGGCCCTTGTCGTAGTGTTTCATAATACATGAAACTCCCCACGTTCTACTACAGTTCCCTTTCCCCAGGTTTTTTCCACTTTTACAATCATTGGATTTTTACTTCTTTTGACATAAATACCCTCCTTCATTTTTTTTTAATCTCGAGTCGAGGTTAATCGAAAATAATACTCTCAGGGGTTGTTTGGTGTGAAGGATAACTTCAAATAGTCCTGAGATTAAATTATAGTGCCACTTAATTTGTTGTTTGGTTGGCAAGTCCGGGATAACTTATTCCGAGATTAATAATCAATACCGGGATAAGTTATCCCTTCCCTTGGGTGGTATAGTAATCCCGGGATAAAATGACTAAATGACTAAAATATACCTTTAAACACTTTTTATACATTACTTTTCACATTCATGAAGGGTATTTTTGTAAACTTATATGTTGTTCTTAAGATTTATTATTTTGAATACAACAAATCAAACACTCAATAAAAAATAATTTTAGCATAAATTATTACATCATAACTAATCTCATCATAACTTAAATTCAAACCAAACGACTCCTCAATATCTCATGTAGGATTATTAACTTATATTATCCTTCTTAAATTTCACTTATGAAATCACTAAATATAATGTTATTACTATTGTCCTCTTTCTCATAAAAAGGAATGCGTTATTTTTTGAATAATTTTTAAAGATACTAAAATAAAATCCTAATTATCATAATTATAAGTATAATAATATATTCACTCTGGTGTAATTCTATCGGTAAAATTGAGAAAGGATAGAATGTGCACATTTTATCCTATCTTTTTGGTAGAGGTTATAAGTCCCTTGGCTCGAAATAAATATTTTTAGAGCAGAATTGTAAGGAAAGTATAATAATAAAATAGCAAGATATAACACAAATAATAATACATATTGAAAAATAAGAGACAACACCATTAGTTATTGGATGGTACTACTAATTAATTATCTTAACTAAGAAAATATGGGATTTAATTAATTTGAAGTATATATTGTCACAAAATCTTAATGCAAGAGTAAATCATATTTTTGAGATTTGAAAGGTAAATATTGAGATATTTGATTAAGAATTAAAAAAAATAACCCAAAAGATCATGGAAGATGTGCCAAACATGTAATGAGGTTGGCATGCATGTTCAACTAATATTTATATAAAGTTACAATTTTATTGGAAAAAGACACCAAATACATCTTAAAAGTTATTAAAACAATTAATTAATTACACAATCCAACTAATCGAACGACCTAATACCTTGTATATATATATTAGGGATAAGGGTCTGAAAAATACCTCAATTTTGGTTGAATTTGCTGTTGCGATACTAAACTTTCATGAGGACCTATTACCTCCCGAGACTATTTAATATTGTATTTTAAACATATATATTTAACCACGTGGACATAAAAAATAATGCAAAATTATAAATAGTAATGTGTCCACGTGGGCACATATATACCTTTAAAATACACTATTAAATAGTTCAGGTGGTAAAAAATACGGTATTAAATAGTCTAGGGAGGTAATAGGTCCTCATGAAAGTTTAGTATCGCAACAACAAATCCGACTAAAGTTGAGGTATTTTTCAGACCTTTATCCCTATATATTAACAATTAAGACCGTTTAAATTGTTACATGTTTTCATTATATCTAAGAAAAAATCAAAAAGAAAAATATGGGCCATTTAACTTATGAATCTGGTCCAAATTTGTCATAATTGAGTATAATGAAATTCCAAGAAGACAAATTATTGATTTCAATAATGTAAATAGTACACCATTTTTTTGCTCAATATGTGCCAAACAAAAAAGAAAAATGCATTTTCTTAAATCTTATTTTTAGCAGATTAGGTTGTCTTTGACAGGCTTTAACTTTTTGTTTCTAATGGAAATTTTCTAATGCAACTGCCAAAAAAAAGAAGAATTTTTTTTCCAAGTTAATTAAAATTAATCTTGCTTGTTTAATGCATGTTATTAAATTAGCAATAAATAAATAACAACCATGGACACCATTTAATTATTTTCTATAGGGTACAAATTCTTGACGTAATTGATAAAATTGTTGTTACGTGATCAGGAGGTCACGTGTTTGATCTGCGATAACATCTTATAGAAATACAAAGTAATATTATGTACAATAGACCCTTGATATGGTACATTCGTTTTCTTAGTCGCAAATCAGACTGTTTTTTTGTGATGCAATTTTTTATATATATTTTTAACTAGATAATTAATATAAAATAATTGGAATGACCTATTGACCATGTCTAACAAATGAACAAAATGATAGAATTACTAACAACTTGTCTATTGTCCTTTTTTAAGTATCAAACCAAAGAATATTCATCAAGCAAATAATTCTTTTTTGTTATTTTAAAGTTGTTGATGTTCATATTTTAATATTAAGCTTGTAAATTATCACCAAACGACGTGTTCTCGACATGCTATATATCTTTTGGGACAAAATTATTGAAATGTATAACAATATGTAATCCATTTATGGAAATAATAAAAGTTACAAATACTAAATAAATGAATTTTCACTATCTAGA